GCCTGTACCAAAAAAACTGGACTGTTATCGTGGGTGCGTGTTTCTGCTACCTCAGGACCCCAAATGCCAAACCCTAAACCCCAAACCCTATACCCTAAACCCTAAACCCCTAAACCCTAAACCCTTGCAACCCTAAACCCCTTGCAGGTGGATCACTTCATGGATGGTGGAGAGCTGCCCGTTGTACTGCACTGCTCTCGGAAGGTCGGTTCATGCACTCTCGGAAGGTCGCTTTTGGGAGTTTAGGGGTCTAGGGTTTCGGTAATTTGGGTTTAGGGTTTTTTTAGGTGCAGGGGTTTAGTTAGGGTTTACCGTTCATGCATATACTTCTGCACAGACTTTGAGCTTTTTCGAACTGTTTTGGTTTGTTGTGTGTAGGAGTTCGAGGTTTGGGGGTTTCGATAGTCGAAGCTCGTATGAAGTTCTGCAGAATCTGAATATGAGCCTATACGGAACCCTCTTCAAGACCTTGTTGAGAACCATATAATAGGCGCTGTCCTAAGGCTTTGGGGTTTGGGTCCACCTGGTGTGGGCCATTTTGGATGGCTGGTGGCTCCTGAAACGCTCAGACACCCGTACCCTACGCCCTCTAAGCCTACAGCCCCCAACGCCTGTAACCGCATGTACAACATTATCTGCGTATTTAGATATATGCATAAAGGGCATAACTCCACTGGATCTTTGGTTTCTGACACATACAATCCGCGTATCTAAGGCATTTAAGACTAGATTTTTGGTGTAGGACAAACGGCAAGTTTGTTTAAGTCACTGCCAACAGAGCCTCTGGGCAAGATGTTTGAGATCTGGTTCGTGATCTTCGGACCTCCTCTACAGTTGGTGCTGGACCAAGAGACCAGCCTCATGAGTCACGAGGCAAAGAGCTTGAAAGGTTCAGTGTGGAGAGAGTTCCGAAAGGAACGACCGCGGGCACAGCTGCTCAACAGCATACAGGAACGGGCCTCATCGAGAGACACGTCGCCCTGACCGAGATCTCCATGATGAAACTGGCGGCCGAGCTGGATCGCCAAGGAATCGAGGTCTCCATCAATGATCTGGCGCGTGAATGCGTCATGTCCCACAACATGAGCCTGAACTACGGCGGAGTCACACCGAGCATGGCAGTGTTCGGTATCATTCCCGCTCTTCAGACGGATGTGACGCCCTTTGAGCAGTCCCTGAGGATCCGGCAGCTCGCCTCGTCACCATCACTAGACTGCTGTCTGCTGTCTACCCAAGAGCGCCTTGGCCCTCAAGCCCCAAGGAAGTTGAGGCAGATAACATAAGCCCTCAACAACCCTAAACACTAAAACCCTAAACCCTAAATCCTGAATCCAAAGCACCTAAGGGTTTAGGGTTCTAGGGGTGACAGAAAAACGTCCACAGTAGCCTGGCCTCAAAGTCCAACGCCTCTACCGCCCCTATGCGAGCCGCGATTCAGCCTGACCCTTACCCTCAAAGGACTCATATTTTAAGGCTTTTGGGCCCAAAGACCCTATCATATGAGGTTTCTGGGCAATTTTGATGCTAAGGGTGAGTCGCCAGAGACCTTGTGGGCTTTTGGATCCAGGGTTTAGGGTTTATAAGGGCTTAGGGCTTAGGGTTGAAAGGGGCGTACGTAGGGTTTTAGGGTTTTGGGGTACCTATTTAGTATGTATGTACAATATATATATATATATATCATATCTATGCTCCATAGTATATACATACAGTACGCCTTGAAGGGTTTCCTATACAGGTGCCAAAGTATCTACTACACATGGGCACATGGACTCTTAGAGGAACCTGACGAAGCCTGAACCTTTTCGGTTTACGGTTGAGGGCTTCGGGTACCCAGAGACTCCAATATCCCTTAATTAAGGAATATACCTTAAATTATAGTAGGATCCCTGGTATGATTTAAGGTATATTCCTTATTTAAGGGATATTGGAGTCTCTGAGTAGTGAAGCCATCTTCCCCAAGGAATCGCCGCTTCCTCCACATAAACAGCCGTTGGCTGCGGGAGAAGGCGAATTCCGCAGCTCCCGCGACAACCTACGGGTCCAAAAACTCCCAATTACGAACCTGCAGAACTATTACGATTCTATACCAGCTTAGTATTAACTACTTTATTGGATGCCAGCTCAGTATTGAATATAGGGAGTGTATGCGCAGCAGCTTTTTATTTAACTTAGGAAGTCTTAACCCCAAAACCCTACTGCATTCACGTCATGGGGTCGAGTATGCATGTTCGAGGATCCGGGGGCTTCCAAGGAGCCCTGAAATAGCTCACGGGCTTCAGGCTAAAGGCTATTAGTCATTAGTCCATGAAGTTCGGGCTGCGGATCTTAAAGGACTTCGCTGTTCTCGGATTAGGCTCAGGGTTTGGGGCTTTAGAAGGTGGGAATGGTAAGGCGACATACCTGGTTCGTCGTCTGAACTTTACAACTAAGGTTATCGAGCCTGCCCACCCCCGTTTGCCGGAATGTGGACATCGAGACGGCCCACCCCGTTCTGCAATCGAAGATCCAAGCCCTAACCCCTAAACCCGAACAGTACCCCTCCCACCAAAGACCCGGTCGACACTCCGAAACTTGTCCTCCATCCACTGTCTTCTAGTCACTAGGTCTTTCCAACCTGCCTGAAGGTTCAGAGGATTTAGGGTTTAGGATTTAGAGTTTGGGGTTTAGGGTTTTGCATCACGGCTTTAGAGGGGTTTGGGGTTCAGGGGTTAGGGTGTAGGTTGTAAGTACCTTTAGGCAAAGCCTTAAACTCGCAGCCGGTAGCTAGTGAGCACCTGTTTAGAAATCAGCGACCCTTCAAGTGGCGACCAAGAGGTGCAAGCTGACCCGAAGCCAACGGATCCGCGGTGCATGTAGAAGGAGATAAATGATAGGAATTCCCAGACAACCCAAATCACCCTTAATTCCCCAAACAGCTTTAGCTGAGGGGTTCTTGATTTCCTTAATAGAAAAGGATTCTCTAACGCTCATTTGGATTTCTCACGGCACTACTCTAAAAACCGCTACTCATTTGTCTCCCATTTGTCTCCCACTTGTCTCCCACTTGC